GTCCAGGCCGAGAGAGCATCCCTTCATGTGGGATGGGCTCTCAAATTCCCTTCTTACACCAGGGAAAATACTAATCCCCTACCAGGGCCCCCTGGAGTGCAGAGGCCTCCTTATGAGCCACAGTATTCTTAACACTGGGTCACCTCTCTGCTCCTCTTCAGGGTCTCACTGTATAGCTTGGACAGGATGTGATCTCACTATGTGGATCTGGCTGGCCTTGATCTCACGAACATCCACTTGTCTCTGCTTCTATACTGCTGGGATTAATTGTCCCACCACACTTGGCCTTCAAGGAAACTCTTGACGTTATAGTTGTGTTTCAGTTTCTTTTCAGGCACTAGTACAGCAAGCTTGACTCCTGCCTGTCATTTGTTGTCTCTGTAAACCTGGGACAAATCACTCGACTATTTATGATATCCTATCTGTAACGATTACTACACGAATAGCACGGAAACACTTGGGAACACAGTACTCACTGTTTTCTTGGGAAAGAAAGCTCAGTTTCACAATGCAGGTAACAGGCATTGGATCACTAACTGCAAACTTCTGAGGGGCACCATCAGCTTTGAGAAGTAGTGCAGGATGTGGATCAGAACTCTCAACATTTCTCTCCAAGTTCCTTATTCAGAGTTTAAGACTCAGAAGTTGTTCCTACCTCCAACTACTAAACAAAGGACATAGGCGCCCCAAAAGGGTGCATTTAGGTCGTGTGCCTGCCCCTGAACCATTCACAGCAGCCAAGAAAATGCCTGGCGGTGATTGGTTGAGAATGGATTCCTTCCACATTCTTGCATTTAGCAGGTCAGATTGGGAGCAACAAACTGCCTGTGAACTTCTCGGCTATGCTAGAGAGAAACTGGCATGGATGCCTTCGAGAATAGACAGAGTGTACTGCTTGCATTTATTTGTACAAAATAAGCCACTACAATTTTCCTAAAATACTCCTTTAAAGCACCCAGAAAAATTTCAAGAAGAACACAAAAAATGGCTCACAATCCTGATGCTTTTAAATATCTTTCATGTTTGAAAATAATTAGACCACAAAAAATGAATACAGATTGATGATAGCATGGAAATTGAATTTTTCCTGAAATTGAGGGTTTCCAGTGTGGTTATATAAAACAATCTCTCTTTTAAGAAAAAAAAATTGTTTTTATTTACTTTTATTTATTGGTGTTTTGCTTGCATGTATGTCTGTGTGAGGGTGTTGGATCCCCTGGAATTGGAGAACTGGAATTATAGACAGTTGTGAGCTGCCATCTGGGTGCTGGAAATTGATCCTGGGTCCTCTGAAAGAGCAGGCAATGCTCTTATCTCTGAGCCATCTCTTTTCTGCCCCCATCCGAATCCCTGAAAAGTATTTCTCTTTGTAGTCCTGGCTATCCTGGAACTCACTATGTAGATCAAGCTGGTCTCGAACTCACAGAGATCCACCTGCCTCTGCCTTCTGAGTGCTGGGATTAAAGGCGGTGTACACTTGTATTATTGAAGTTTTGCCTGGTGGTGGTTTCACACACCTTTGGGGGAATCTTTGTGAGTTGGAGGCCAGTGTGGTCTACAAAGTGAGTTCCAGGGCAGCCAGGGTTACACAGAGAAACCTCGTCTAAAATAAATAAATAGAGAAACCCTGTCTCAACCCCCCCCCAAAATAATATAAAATAAATAAATAAAATTCCAAAACAACAAACCAAACAGAATTAATGAAGTTTTAAAGAAAGTGTAAGGTGAAAATAGGCACTTAATAAGCCATTTGTTACCATATTTGCTGCTTTGTCTTTTTATTTCCCAAGTAATCTGAACATTTGACATACAACTAGATAAAGTGGAACATCTCTGTAATCCCAGAATTGGTGCTGAGGTAAGATTGCAACAGGTTCAAGGCTAGCCCCGGCTCTATTGTTGAGACCCTGTCTCACTCCTAGTCCCCGTAATAAAAATTAAATAATCGCTGGGCATTGGTGGCACACGCCTTTAATCCCAGCACTCGGGAGGAAGAGACAGGTGGATCTCTGTGAGTTTGAGGTCAGACTGCTCTACAGGCAGATCTCTGTGAGTTCAAAGCCAGCCTGGTCTACAAGAGCAAGTTACAGGACAGACTCCAAAGCCACAGAGAAACCGTGTCTCGAAAAACCAAAATAAATAAACAAATAAATAAATAATCAATAAACAGTAAAAACAACAACATAATAATAGGGGGCTAGAGAGATTGCTCAGAGGTTAAGAGCACCAACTACTCTTCCAGAGGTCCTGAGTTCAATTCCCAGCAACCATATGGTGGCTCACAACCATCCATTATGAGATCTGGTGCCCTCTTCTTGTGTGCAGGATCATATGCAGACATAAAGCTGTATACATAATAATAAATCTTAAAAAAACAACATAATAATTAATACACTACACACAATGATTATTAAAAGAGCCACACAGATCTGCTTCACTCCTTTCTCCCAGTGACCAGCCCCTGCTAAACCTCTGGTGTTTCGATGAGGAAAAAAAATGAAAATCAATGTATTTATGTTAAGCATTTGTTATTATTTTGGTGGGTCCTTTTTCAGACGGGGTCTCACCATGTAACCCTGGCTGGCCTCACTATGTAGACAAGCTCGCCTTGAACTCACAGCAATCCTCCTGCCTCTGCCTACGCCAATTACGCCAGGCTAAACTTTTATTTTTTAAGATAACGCGTCTAATAATAATTCCGTGTATTTGCTTAAGGGCAGGCCCCAGAGAGAGCAAACAGGGCTCTGCCCAGCGTCCCGCCTAGGCA